CACACACATGACTAGACTACAGATGTACCTAAGTGGGGTACAACCACACACATGACTAGACTACAGATGTACCTAAGTGGGGTAGAACCACACACATGACTAGACTACAGATGTACCTAAGTGGGGTAGAACCACACACATGACTAGACTACAGATGTACCTAAGTGGGGTACAACCACACACATGACTAGACTACAGATGTACCTAAGTGGGGTAGAACCACACACATGACTAGACTACAGATGTACCTAAGTGGGGTACAACCACACACATGACTAGACTACAGATGTACCTAAGTGGGGTACAACCACACACATGACTAGACTACAGATGTACCTAAGTGGGGTAGAACCACACACATGACTAGACTACAGATGTACCTAAGTGGGGTACAACCACACACATGACTAGACTACAGATGTACCTAAGTGGGGTAGAACCACACACATGACTAGACTACAGATGTACCTAAGTGGGGTAGAACCACACACATGACTAGACTACAGATGTACCTAAGTGGGGTAGAACCACACACATGACTAGACTACAGATGTACCTAAGTGGGGTAGAACCACACACATGACTAGACTACAGATGTACCTAAGTGGGGTAGAACCACACACATGACTAGACCACAGATGTACTTAAGTGGGGTAGAACCACACACATGACTAGACTACAGATGTACCTAAGTGGGGTAGAACCACACACATGACTAGACTACAGATGTACCTAAGTGGGGTACAACCACACACATGACTAGACCACAGATGTACCTAAGTGGGGTAGAACCACACACATGACTAGACTACAGATGTACCTAAGTGGGGTAGAACCACACACATGACTAGACTACAGATGTACCTAAGTGGGGTACAACCACACACATGACTAGACTACAGATGTACCTAAGTGGGGTAGAACCACACACATGACTAGACTACAGATGTACCTAAGTGGGGTAGAACCACACACATGACTAGACTACAGATGTACCTAAGTGGGGTACAACCACACACATGACTAGACTACAGATGTACCTAAGTGGGGTAGAACCACACACATGACTAGACTACAGATGTACCTAAGTGGGGTAGAACCACACACATGACTAGACTACAGATGTACCTAAGTGGGGTAGAACCACACACATGACTAGACTACAGATGTACCTAAGTGGGATAGAACCACACACATGACTAGACTACAGATGTACCTAAGTGGGGTACAACCACACACATGACTAGACTACAGATGTACCTAAGTGGGGTAGAACCACACACATGACTAGACTACAGATGTACCTAAGTGGGGTACAACCACACACATGACTAGACTACAGATGTACCTAAGTGGGGTAGAACCACACACATGACTAGACTACAGATGTACCTAAGTGGGGTAGAACCACACACATGACTAGACTACAGATGTACCTAAGTGGGGTACAACCACACACATGACTAGACTACAGATGTACCTAAGTGGGGTAGAACCACACACATGACTAGACTACAGATGTACCTAAGTGGGGTACAACCACACACATGACTAGACTACAGATGTACCTAAGTGGGGTAGAACCACACACATGACTAGACTACAGATGTACCTAAGTGGGGTAGAACCACACACATGACTAGACTACAGATGTACCTAAGTGGGGTACAACCACACACATGACTAGACTACAGATGTACCTAAGTGGGGTAGAACCACACACATGACTAGACTACAGATGTACCTAAGTGGGGTACAACCACACACATGACTAGACTACAGATGTACCTAAGTGGGGTACAACCACACACATGACTAGACTACAGATGTACCTAAGTGGGGTAGAACCACACACATGACTAGACTACAGATGTACCTAAGTGGGGTACAACCACACACATGACTAGACTACAGATGTACCTAAGTGGGGTAGAACCACACACATGACTAGACTACAGATGTACCTAAGTGGGGTAGAACCACACACATGACTAGACTACAGATGTACCTAAGTGGGGTACAACCACACACATGACTAGACTACAGATGTACCTAAGTGGGGTAGAACCACACACATGACTAGACTACAGATGTACCTAAGTGGGGTACAACCACACACATGACTAGACTACAGATGTACCTAAGTGGGGTACAACCACACACATGACTAGACTACAGATGTACCTAAGTGGGGTAGAACCACACACATGACTAGACTACAGATGTACCTAAGTGGGGTACAACCACACACATGACTAGACTACAGATGTACCTAAGTGGGGTAGAACCACACACATGACTAGACTACAGATGTACCTAAGTGGGGTACAACCACACACATGACTAGACTACAGATGTACCTAAGTGGGGTAGAACCATACACATGACTAGACTACAGATGTACCTAAGTGGGGTACAACCACACACATGACTAGACTACAGATGTACCTAAGTGGGGTAGAACCACACACATGACTAGACTACAGATGTACCTAAGTGGGGTAGAACCACACACATGACTAGACTACAGATGTACCTAAGTGGGGTAGAACCACACACATGACTAGACTACAGATGTACCTAAGTGGGGTACAACCACACACATGACTAGACTACAGATGTACCTAAGTGGGGTAGAACCACACACATGACTAGACTACAGATGTACCTAAGTGGGGTACAACCACACACATGACTAGACTACAGATGTACCTAAGTGGGGTAGAACCACACACATGACTAGACTACAGATGTACCTAAGTGGGGTAGAACCACACACATGACTAGACTACAGATGTACCTAAGTGGGGTAGAACCACACACATGACTAGACTACAGATGTACCTAAGTGGGGTACAACCACACACATGACTAGACTACAGATGTACCTAAGTGGGGTACAACCACACACATGACTAGACTACAGATGTACCTAAGTGGGGTAGAACCACACACATGACTAGACTACAGATGTACCTAAGTGGGGTACAACCACACACATGACTAGACTACAGATGTACCTAAGTGGGGTAGAACCACACACATGACTAGACTACAGATGTACCTAAGTGGGGTAGAACCACACACATGACTAGACTACAGATGTACCTAAGTGGGGTAGAACCACACACATGACTAGACTACAGATGTACCTAAGTGGGGTAGAACCACACACATGACTAGACTACAGATGTACCTAAGTGGGGTAGAACCACACACATGACTAGACTACAGATGTACCTAAGTGGGGTAGAACCACACACATGACTAGACTACAGATGTACCTAAGTGGGGTAGAACCACACACATGACTAGACTACAGATGTACCTAAGTGGGGTACAACCACACACATGACTAGACTACAGATGTACCTAAGTGGGGTAGAACCACACACATGACTAGACTACAGATGTACCTAAGTGGGATAGAACCACACACATGACTAGACTACAGATGTACCTAAGTGGGGTAGAACCACACACATGACTAGACTACAGATGTACCTAAGTGGGGTAGAACCACACACATGACTAGACTACAGATGTACCTAAGTGGGGTACAACCACACACATGACTAGACTACAGATGTACCTAAGTGGGGTAGAACCACACACATGACTAGACTACAGATGTACCTAAGTGGGGTAGAACCACACACATGACTAGACTACAGATGTACCTAAGTGGGGTAGAACCACACACATGACTAGACTACAGATGTACCTAAGTGGGGTAGAACCACACACATGACTTGACTACAGATGTACCTAAGTGGGGTAGAACCACACACATGACTAGACTACAGATGTACCTAAGTGGGGTACAACCACACACATGACTAGACTACAGATGTACCTAAGTGGGGTAGAACCACACACATGACTAGACTACAGATGTACCTAAGTGGGGTAGAACCACACACATGACTAGACTACAGATGTACCTAAGTGGGGTACAACCACACACATGACTAGACTACAGATGTACCTAAGTGGGGTAGAACCACACACATGACTAGACTACAGATGTACCTAAGTGGGGTAGAACCACACACATGACTAGACTACAGATGTACCTAAGTGGGGTAGAACCACACACATGACTAGACTACAGATGTACCTAAGTGGGGTAGAACCACACACATGACTAGACTACAGATGTACCTAAGTGGGGTACAACCACACACATGACTAGACTACAGATGTACCTAAGTGGGGTAGAACCACACACATGACTAGACTACAGATGTACCTAAGTGGGGTAGAACCACACACATGACTAGACTACAGATGTACCTAAGTGGGGTAGAACCACACACATGACTAGTCTACAGATGTACCTAAGTGGGGTAGAACCACACACATGACTAGACTACAGATGTACCTAAGTGGGGTACAACCACACACATGACTAGACTACAGATGTACCTAAGTGGGGTAGAACCACACACATGACTAGACTACAGATGTACCTAAGTGGGGTAGAACCACACACATGACTAGACTACAGATGTACCTAAGTGGGGTACAACCACACACATGACTAGACTACAGATGTACCTAAGTGGGGTACAACCACACACATGACTAGACTACAGATGTACCTAAGTGGGGTAGAACCACACACATGACTAGACTACAGATGTACCTAAGTGGGGTAGAACCACACACATGACTAGACTACAGATGTACCTAAGTGGGGTACAACCACACACATGACTAGACTACAGATGTACCTAAGTGGGGTACAACCACACACATGACTAGACTACAGATGTACCTAAGTGGGGTAGAACCACACACATGACTAGACTACAGATGTACCTAAGTGGGGTACAACCACACACATGACTAGACTACAGATGTACCTAAGTGGGGTAGAACCACACACATGACTAGACTACAGATGTACCTAAGTGGGGTAGAACCACACACATGACTAGACTACAGATGTACCTAAGTGGGGTAGAACCACACACATGACTAGACTACAGATGTACCTAAGTGGGGTAGAACCAGTTTTTTGACACTATCCCCCTCCTGACCAGACTGGAGGACATCAACAATCCTGAAGAAAACAAAAGAAAAAAATCATCCAAAAATCTATTCTCATGTCCCCCCCCCCATTGGTGTTTTGTGGGGGCATGTCACCCCACATTGATGTTTTGTTGGGGTATGTCCCCCCCCCCATTGATGTTTTGTGGGGGCATGTCCCCCCATTGGTGTTTTGTGGGGGCATGTCCTTTCCATTGATGTTTTGTGGGGGAATAACCCCCCCCCCCCCATTAGTGTTTTGTGGGGCATGTCACCCCCATTGATGTTTTAAGTACTGCAAGGATTTTAGGCACTGTCTGTCAGTCAACTGTCACTTCTAGCTGTCTGTCAGTCAACTGTCACTGCTAGCTGTCTGTCAGTCAACTGTCACTGCTAGCTGTCTGTCAGTCAACTGTCACTGCTAGCTGTCTGTCTGCTCTCCCTTTATGTATGCAAAAGTTTTTTAAATTGCATAGTTTAAACATTTTTTCTTATCTATAAAAGCCATTACAATTCTTTCAAGATAAAAAGTTCGACTATTACATGAAGTACCAATACTAAAAATAAGGTGGGAATTTTATGATTAACTAGCGTGCTGGTCGCCACACGGCGGAGCAGAAAGTCCGAGGATAGTCGGGTGGCAAATTGCACCCCACCACTGAAGGACCTAAACGCCCCACATCTCAATGTTTAAAGCAAACGTAGGTGCTATAGAGCTAACAGGATAGCTCGGGATGCCAAACGTAGATGCTATAGAGCTAACAGGATAGCTCGGGGTGCCAAACGTAGGTGCTATAGAGCTAACAGGATAGCTCGGGGTGCCAAACGTAGGTGCTATAGAGCTAACAGGATAGCTCGGGGTGCCAAACGTAGGTGCTATAGAGCTAACAGGATAGCTCGGGGTGCCAAACGTAGATGCTATAGAGCTAACAGGATAGCTCGGGGTGCCAAACGTAGGTGCTATAGAGCTAACAGGATAGCTCGGGATGCCAAACGTAGGTGCTATAGAGCTAACAGGATAGCTCGGGGTGCCAAACGTAGGTGCTATAGAGCTAACAGGATAGCTCGGGATGCCAAACGTAGGTGCTATAGAGCTAACAGGATAGCTCGGGATGCCAAACGTAGGTGCTATAGAGCTAACAGGATAGCTCGGGGTGCCAAACGTAGGTGCTATAGAGCTAACAGGATAGCTCGGGATGCCAAACGTAGATGCTATAGAGCTAACATGATAGCTCGGGGTGCCAAATCACACCCTGCCAGGGGCAGCCTGTGAGACATCCAGCTTTATATTTATGCCAAATACAATAAGATGATGGATATATAAAAGTATCATTGTTTAATTAATGGGGTCATAAAAATTGTATATATAAACTTTTTTTTCTCATTAAGTTATTATTTTCTTAATACAAAAATGGAGAAAGAAACCCAGTCTGACTTTTTAATTTTTTTTAGAGCATATCCTCTGTGACTGCAGTCTATCTGCTGTCTGTCAGATGTGTAAACTGTGACAGCTATCAGTCTGCTGTCTGTCAGATGTGACAGCTAGCTGTCTGTCAGATGTGACAGCTAGCTGTCTGCTGTCTGTCAGATGTGACAGCTAGCTGTCTGTCAGATGTGACAGCTAGCTGTCTGCTGTCTGTCTATTGTGTGGGTCTCACCTTTCCCTGGTTGGGCTGGAGTACTGCTGGCATTTAGTGATGGGGTACTTCTCTCTGACAGCAAACCTCACCTCGTCACTGACATCAGTGCGGGCTCGCAACAGTGTCAAGATGGTGTACTCATGGTCTGTCAGCACCATGTTGCCCTGTACACATGTTGGTTAATGACAACATCCAGAGGCAAGATGGTGTACTCATGGTCTGTCAGCACCATGTTGCCCTGTACACATGTTGGTTAATGACAACATCCAGAGGCAAGATGGTGTACTCATGGTCTGTCAGCACCATGTTGCCCTGTACACATGTTGGTTAATGACAACATCCACAGTCTCTCACACAACATCTACAGTCCCTCACACACAACATCCACAGTTTCTCACACAACATCCACAGTTTCTCACACAACATCCACAGTCCCTCACACAACATCCAGTCCCTCACACAACATAGACACACTCTCCCCCACACAGACCAGGAGGAGAGAAAGAGACAGACCCTATCATACAGCTCCAGTACAATGTGGTAGGCAGCTTCCCCAGACCCAAACTGGAAGTCAACAATTCGATCAAATCCCAGCTGGCAAACCATCTCTAAGCGACGTCCTTTTAGATGTTTTCTGAGCTGGTCCAAAGTTCATCAACATTTATCAAAGCTGTGCTCAGTTTGGGCTAATAGTGTGCTACTTTCTTGTTTATTAGTGGTGTCATTATGTGTAGTTAGTTGTGTCATTATGTGTAGTTAATTGTGTCATTATGTGCAGTTAGTTGTGTCATTATGTGTAGTTAGTTGTGTCATTATGTGTAGTTAGTTGTGTCATTATGTGTAGTTAGTTGTGTCATTATGTGTAGTTAGTTGTGTCATTATGTGTAGTTAGTTGTGTCATTATGTGTAGTTAGTTGTGTCATTATGTGCAGTTAGTTGTGTCATTATGTGTAGTTAGTTGTGTCATTATGTGTAGTTAGTTGTGTCATTATGTGTAGTTAGTTGTGTCATTATGTGTAGTTAGTTGTGTCATTATGTGTAGTTAGTTGTGTCATTATGTGTAGTTAGTTGTGTCATTATGTGTAGTTAGTTGTGTCATTATGTGTAGTTAGTTGTGTCATTATAAGCAGTTAGTTGTGTCATTATGTGTAGTTTGTTGTGTCATTATGTGTAGTTAGTTGTGTCATTATGTGTAGTTAGTTGTGTCATTATGTGTAGTTAGTTGTGTCATTATAAGCAGTTAGTTGTGTCATTATGTGTAGTTTGTTGTGTCATTATGTGTAGTTTGTTGTGTCATTATGTGTAGTTAGTTGTGTCATTATGTGTAGTTTGTTGTGTCATTATGTGTAGTTTGGGGTATTCAGTATAGATCTAATGACAGCAGCATTATGGAGCATCAAGGAAATCAAGACTAATGTAATCAGGGAAATCAAGACTAATGTAATCAGGGAAATCAAGACTAATGTAATCAGGGAAATCAAGACTAATGTAATCAGGGAAATCAAGACTAATGTAATCAAGGAAATCAAGACTAATGTAATCAGGGAAATCAAGACTAATGTAATCAGGGAAATCAAGACTAATGTAATCAGGGAAATCAAGACTAATGTAATAAGGGAAATCAAGACTAATGTAATCAGGGAAATCAAGACTAATGTAATCAGGGAAATCAAGACTAATGTAATCAGGGAAATCAAGACTAATGTAATCAGGGAAATCAAGACTAATGTAATCAGGGAAATCAAGACTAATGTAATCAGGGAAATCAAGACTAATGTAATCAGGGAAATCAAGACTAATGTAATCAAGGAAATCAAGACTAATGTAATCAGGGAAATCAAGACTAATGTAATCAGGGAAATCAAGACTAATGTAATCAGGGAAATCAAGACTAATGTAATCAGGGAAATCAAGACTAATGTAATCAGGGAAATCAAGACTAATGTAATCAGGGAAAGCAAGAATCATTTGGAGATGCCCCCTCTATCATATCCTATTGACCTTCACCCCTCTAATTGTGCTGACCTTAACCCCTCTATTGACCTTCACCCCACTAATTGTGCGGACCTTCACCTCTCTACTGCCCTTTACCCCTCTCCTTGTATTGACCTTCACCCCTCTAATTGTGCTGACCTTCACCCCTCTAATTGTGCTGACCTTCACCCCTCTAATTGTACTGACCTTCACCCCTCTAATTGTGCTGACCTTCACCCCTCTAATTGTGCTGACCTTCACCCCTCTATTTGTGCTGACCTTAACCCCTCTAATTGTGCTGACCTTCACCCCTCTAATTGTGCTGACCTTAACCCCTCTATTGACCTTCACCCCTCTAATTGTACTGACCTTCATAGAGAAGCCAGAAGGTGCTGGATTTTTGGGCCAATCAAAGTCTGTGCTGTGGACCCTGGTGCCAGACTCCATTACAATCACAGTTTTTTCATCAGGCCTAGGGGGAACAAATCATCAAACCACACAGACTCCATTACAATCACAGTTTTTTCATCAGGCCTAGGGGGAACAAATCATCAAACCACACAGACTCCATTACAATCACAGTTTTTTCATCAGGCCTAGGGGGAACAAATCATCAAACCACACAGACTCCATTACAATCACAGTTTTTTCATCAGGCCTAGGGGGAACAAATCATCAAACCACACAGACTCCATTACAATCACAGTTTTTTCATCAGGCCTAGGGGGAACAAATCATCAAACCACACAGACTCCATTACAATCACAGTTTTTTCATCAGGCCTAGGGGGAACAAATCATCAAACCACACAGACTCCATTACAATCACAGTTTTTTCATCAGGCCTAGGGGGAACAAATCATCAAACCACACAGACTCCATTACAATCACAGTTTTTTCATCAGGCCTAGGGGGAACAAATCATCAAACCACACAGACTCCATTACAATCACAGTTTTTTCATCAGGCCTAGGGGGAACAAATCATCAAACCACACAGACTCCATTACAATTACAGTTTTTTCATCAGGCCTAGGGGGAACAAATCATCAAACCACACAGACTCCATTACAATCAGTTTTTTCATCAGGCCTAGGGGGAACAAATCATCAAACCACACAGACTCCATTACAATCACAGTTTTTTCATCAGGCCTAGGGGGAACAAATCATCAAACCACACAGACTCCATTACAATCACAGTTTTTTCATCAGGCCTAGGGGGAACAAATCATCAAACCACACAGACTCCATTACAATCACAGTTTTTTCATCAGGCCTAGGGGGAACAAATCATCAAACCACACAGACTCCATTACAATCACAGTTTTTTCATCAGGCCTAGGGGGAACAAATCATCAAACCACACAGACTCCATTACAATCACAGTTTTTTCATCAGGCCTAGGGGGAACAAATCATCAAACCACACAGACTCCATTACAATCACAGTTTTTTCATCAGGCCTAGGGGGAACAAATCATCAAACCACACAGACTCCATTACAATCAGTTTTTTCATCAGGCCTAGGGGGAACAAATCATCAAACCACACAGACTCCATTACAATCAGTTTTTTCATCAGGCCTAGGGGGAACAAATCATCAAACCACACAGACTCCATTACAATCACATTTTTTTCATCAGGCCTAGGGGGAACAAATCATCAAACCACACAGACTCCATTACAATCACAGTTTTTTCATCAGGCCTAGGGGGAACAAATCATCAAACCACACAGACTCCATTACAATCACAGTTTTTTCATCAGGCCTAGGGGGAACAAATCATCAAACCACACAGACTCCATTACAATCACAGTTTTTTCATCAGGCCTAGGGGGAACAAATCATCAAACCACACAGACTCCATTACAATCACAGTTTTTTCATCAGGCCTAGGGGGAACAAATCATCAAACCACACAGACTCCATTACAATCACAGTTTTTTCATCAGGCCTAGGGGGAACAAATCATCAAACCACACAGACTCCATTACAATCACAGTTTTTTCATCAGGCCTAGGGGGAACAAATCATCAAACCACACAGACTCCATTACAATCACAGTTTTTTCATCAGGCCTAGGGGGAACAAATCATCAAACCACACAGACTCCATTACAATCACAGTTTTTTCATCAGGCCTAGGGGGAACAAATCATCAAACCACACAGACTCCATTACAATCACAGTTTTTTCATCAGGCCTAGGGGGAACAAATCATCAAACCACACAGACTCCATTACAATCACAGTTTTTTCATCAGGCCTAGGGGGAACAAATCATCAAACCACACAGACTCCATTACAATCACAGTTTTTTCATCAGGCCTAGGGGGAACAAATCATCAAACCACACAGACTCCATTACAATCACAGTTTTTTCATCAGGCCTAGGGGGAACAAATCATCAAACCACACAGACTCCATTACAATCACAGTTTTTTCATCAGGCCTAGGGGGAACAAATCATCAAACCACACAGACTCCATTACAATCACAGTTTTTTCATCAGGCCTAGGGGGAACAAATCATCAAACCACACAGACTCCATTACAATCACAGTTTTTTCATCAGGCCTAGGGGGAACAAATCATCAAACCACACAGACTCCATTACAATCACAGTTTTTTCATCAGGCCTAGGGGGAACAAATCATCAAACCACACAGACTCCATTACAATCACAGTTTTTTCATCAGGCCTAGGGGGAACAAATCATCAAACCACACAGACTCCATTACAATCACAGTTTTTTCATCAGGCCTAGGGGGAACAAATCATCAAACCACACAGACTCCATTACAATCACAGTTTTTTCATCAGGCCTAGGGGGAACAAATCATCAAACCACACAGACTCCATTACAATCACAGTTTTTTCATCAGGCCTAGGGGGAACAAATCATCAAACCACACAGACTCCATTACAATCACAGTTTTTTCATCAGGCCTAGGGGGAACAAATCATCAAACCACACAGACTCCATTACAATCACAGTTTTTTCATCAGGCCTAGGGGGAACAAATCATCAAACCACACAGACTCCATTACAATCACAGTTTTTTCATCAGGCCTAGGGGGAACAAATCATCAAACCACACAGACTCCATTACAATCACAGTTTTTTCATCAGGCCTAGGGGGAACAAATCATCAAACCACACAGACTCCATTACAATCACAGTTTTTTCATCAGGCCTAGGGGGAACAAATCATCAAACCACACAGACTCCATTACAATCACAGTTTTTTCATCAGGCCTAGGGGGAACAAATCATCAAACCACACAGACTCCATTACAATCACAGTTTTTTCATCAGGCCTAGGGGGAACAAATCATCAAACCACACAGACTCCATTACAATCACAGTTTTTTCATCAGGCCTAGGGGGAACAAATCATCAAACCACACAGACTCCATTACAATCACAGTTTTTTCATCAGGCCTAGGGGGAACAAATCATCAAACCACACAGACTCCATTACAATCACAGTTTTTTCATCAGGCCTAGGGGGAACAAATCATCAAACCACACAGACTCCATTACAATCACAGTTTTTTCATCAGGCCTAGGGGGAACAAATCATCAAACCACACAGACTCCATTACAATCACAGTTTTTTCATCAGGCCTAGGGGGAACAAATCATCAAACCACACAGACTCCATTACAATCACAGTTTTTTCATCAGGCCTAGGGGGAACAAATCATCAAACCACACAGACTCCATTACAATCACAGTTTTTTCATCAGGCCTAGGGGGAACAAATCATCAAACCACACAGACTCCATTACAATCACAGTTTTTTCATCAGGCCTAGGGGGAACAAATCATCAAACCACACAGACTCCATTACAATCACAGTTTTTTCATCAGGCCTAGGGGGAACAAATCATCAAACCACACAGACTCCATTACAATCACAGTTTTTTCATCAGGCCTAGGGGGAACAAATCATCAAACCACACAGACTCCATTACAATCACAGTTTTTTCATCAGGCCTAGGGGGAACAAATCATCAAACCACACAGACTCCATTACAATCACAGTTTTTTCATCAGGCCTAGGGGGAACAAATCATCAAACCACACAGACTCCATTACAATCACAGTTTTTTCATCAGGCCTAGGGGGAACAAATCATCAAACCACACAGACTCCATTACAATCACAGTTTTTTCATCAGGCCTAGGGGGAACAAATCATCAAACCACACAGACTCCATTACAATCACAGTTTTTTCATCAGGCCTAGGGGGAACAAATCATCAAACCACACAGACTCCATTACAATCACAGTTTTTTCATCAGGCCTAGGGGGAACAAATCATCAAACCACACAGACTCCATTACAATCACAGTTTTTTCATCAGGCCTAGGGGGAACAAATCATCAAACCACACAGACTCCATTACAATCACAGTTTTTTCATCAGGCCTAGGGGGAACAAATCATCAAACCACACAGACTCCATTACAATCACAGTTTTTTCATCAGGCCTAGGGGGAACAAATCATCAAACCACACAGACTCCATTACAATCACAGTTTTTTCATCAGGCCTAGGGGGAACAAATCATCAAACCACACAGACTCCATTACAATCACAGTTTTTTCATCAGGCCTAGGGGGAACAAATCATCAAACCACACAGACTCCATTACAATCACAGTTTTTTCATCAGGCCTAGGGGGAACAAATCATCAAACCACACAGACTCCATTACAATCACAGTTTTTTCATCAGGCCTAGGGGGAACAAATCATCAAACCACACAGACTCCATTACAATCACAGTTTTTTCATCAGGCCTAGGGGGAACAAATCATCAAACCACACAGACTCCATTACAATCACAGTTTTTTCATCAGGCCTAGGGGGAACAAATCATCAAACCACACAGACTCCATTACAATCACAGTTTTTTCATCAGGCCTAGGGGGAACAAATCATCAAACCACACAGACTCCATTACAATCACAGTTTTTTCATCAGGCCTAGGGGGAACAAATCATCAAACCACACAGACTCCATTACAATCACAGTTTTTTCATCAGGCCTAGGGGGAACAAATCATCAAACCACACAGACTCCATTACAATCACAGTTTTTTCATCAGGCCTAGGGGGAACAAATCATCAAACCACACAGACTCCATTACAATCACAGTTTTTTCATCAGGCCTAGGGGGAACAAATCATCAAACCACACAGACTCCATTACAATCACAGTTTTTTCATCAGGCCTAGGGGGAACAAATCATCAAACCACACAGACTCCATTACAATCACAGTTTTTTCATCAGGCCTAGGGGGAACAAATCATCAAACCACACAGACTCCATTACAATCACAGTTTTTTCATCAGGCCTAGGGGGAACAAATCATCAAACCACACAGACTCCATTACAATCACAGTTTTTTCATCAGGCCTAGGGGGAACAAATCATCAAACCACACAGACTCCATTACAATCAC